CTGCATACCAGCGATGGGCTCTCTGTGCTCTGAAATGCACACATCATCTTTCATTAAAGATTGCTGAGAAAGCTGAATTCCAAGTGCTCCTTTCGCCCCATCTCCACTTCAGAGGACTGTGTGAGAGTGTCATTAAAATTAATAAGAATTGTGTTCCTGCTGTGAGCAATCCGCTCTTGCTCCTTGGCTCCTCGTGTGTGCGTGTCTGGAGGACAAATGAGAGCTGCCCCACTTCTTGTTAGTGTGAGGGAGGTGGATGGCAGGTGACACCAGCTTGAAGGCACAGGCTCTAAGTGTGACACGCAGCTGGCGGGGAGGGGCTCATGTTAGCATCTTGTGAGAAGGCATAGTGTCAGAGAGCACGAAGGCCTTCCTGGAAATAGGAAGGTGTTCCAGCTCTTGTTGAACCTGCTGTCCTTAGAGGACCCCCAGGTTTGTAGCCACACCACTCCAAGAAATGTTTGTAAGCTCCCATCTTTCTTTTCCCCAGCACACAGGAGACAGAATATTCCTCTCGCGAACATCAGCTTCCTGCAGCAGGTACCAGTGTGCAGCTGCAACTGTAGAGGGCCAGTGATAGGGAGAGCAGTGTCCTGGGTGTCCAAGTTCAAACCCAGCTCTGTGCTTACCAACTTTACAACCTGGGATTGTCTGAAGATCAAAGCTATGCTTGTGTACATATGCTTGCACACACATGTGCATGTAAGTTAGTATTTGTGTATGTGTGCCTTTATGCCTGTATGGATATATAGTATCGTACTCGTGTATATATGCATGTGGGTAGTATGTGTGTCTTTAATACATAGCATGTGTGTTTGCATTTACTGTATGTGGGCGTGTGCATGTATATTTGTATGTGCACACATGTATTCATGCATATGGATTTGGGTGTATGTATGTTTAATGGTGTGCACACATTGTATGGCACATATGTGCAGTATGTATATGTATGTGCACATGGATAGTGTGTGTCTATGTACGTATGTGTGTGTAAATGTACAGTATGCGTGTGGATGTGTGTGCATGTAGGTACAGGCACACACATGCATGCACATATGTAAATGCAGGGTTGTATTGTGTGTGTGCATGTTTGCATGCACATATGAGTGTGTGCATGCAATATGGATAGCTGTACTGGTGAATGCATGCTTGTATGTGTGATGCATCTGCATAGTGTGTATAAGTGTGTACATGCATGTGCATGTCAGTGTATATGCAGGCAGAGTATATGTGCATGCCTGTACACACATTTGTGTGGATGTCTTATGTATGCATGTCACATGTGCATCCATGAGACACACATATAGCATGTACATGTATATGCACACAATGACACATGTGCATGTGTATATGCATAAGCATATGCACGCATGTTTGTGTGTATGGTGTGCAGTACTGGGATTTGAACTCAGGGCCTATACCTTGAGCCACTCCACCAGTCCTTTTTGGTGAAGGGGTTTTTTGAGATAGGGTCTTATGAACTATTTGCCCAGGCTGGCTTTGAACCACAATCTTCCTGATCTCTGCCTCCTGAGTAGCTGGGATTACAGGCCTGAGCCACTGGCACCTGGCTGGAGTGTGGTTTTGTATCTCTGTGTATGCATATTGCCCAGCTGCAGGCGTGGCCCACTGGAGTGCTTGGTGCCCCAGGCTGTTCTTGTTCTGCTGAATCACAGCAGGACCGGTGGAGCCAGAGCTGTACATGGGGAGGCACTGGCTCCATCTTGCTAGTCCAGATCCTCCCGCAATGCCTTCCCGTGAGTGTGATCAGGTCTTCTCGTATTCTGAGGGGCTGTGGTCTAAGCTGTCAGTTTAGGGCAGAAGAATGTGGAATGACAGGAGAGGCAGGCCATCTGGCAGCCATCCCAACCTCCCACTGGCTAAGTGCCCTGGGTCATGGCCAACAGGTGCAGGTGGGCTCTTGGGGTTCTTCAGCCTCAGGATTCCTACCTGCTGAGCCCTGGAACTGCATGGCCACAAGCCTGCACGGGGCCTTCAGCCCTTGGTTCTTAGAAACATGGCCTTCCATTAGTTCCTGGGCCTGTGGAGAGTGGGTTTGCTTGCACTGTATGGGGACCGCACGGAGGCAAAGTCCCAGAGGCCAGGTCCCTGCCCTGCAGCTGAAGTGTGAGTTTTGTAACCCTGGGTATGGAGTCAGGTGAACTTGGTCTGAGTAATCACATCATTTGGTGCCTGCCCTGTGCTCTGAGCATGACTTTCTGTGTACGCCGATGCCCACAGTGACCTGAGGTTCTGAGTACCATTAGGACATCATTTACAGATGAGGGGACTGAGGTTCAAAGAGAATTATAACTTGTTCAAGGGTTTGTGGGTGGAGATCTGCCATTTGGGTCCAGGTCTATCTGGCTGCAGGGTGTGTGCTGGGAATCACTGGACAGTAGCCTGCACCAGCTCACTATGTGACCTGGAGTGGTCACTGTGCATTTTGACCTTACTTCTTTGCTGGAGCAGAGGAGTGCTGGGTCAGTCATCTCAGAAAATGCATAACAAATACGGCAAACTGGTGAGATTTATTTCCTCACAGTTGTGGAAGCTGGAAATCCAAGATCGAGGTCCGGCAGGGGCGTTTTCTCCTGAGACCCCTTTCTGTGGCTTACAGATGCCGCCTTCTTGCTGTGTCCTCAGGTGGCCTTGCCTCTATGTATACAGCCTGGTGTCTTCTCTTCTTATAAGGCCATCAGTCCTGTCAGATTAGGACCCACCCCATGACCTCATTTCACCTCAGTTACAACTTTAAAGATCTTGTCTCCAAAAGCAGTCACACGGCGGGGGGAGGGGTAAGGACTTCAGTATAGAACTTTTGAAGGGTCACAGTTCATCCTATTACAGGTGGCAATGAGAACAAAGTGGGGTTGAAATCAACAGACATGTGAACGTGCTTTCTGGGAGCAGCTTCCTGGGCATGTTCTAATGCAGCTCTTAATGGTGGAAAGTGAGCAGAACGGTCCTGGGCTTCCAGCACCTCTGCTGCCACCTTGCGCTTTCTCCTGCTGCCTTAAGGAGAAGGTTCTGGTGGGACCTCAGCCAGGTTGAAAGCAGCTGCAGCTGGATCTAGGCCAGTGCTAGCCAGTTTTGATGCCATTGCAATCACCCTGGGAATGTGTTAAAGTGCAGATGTGTGTGTGGCCATCCAGCCCTGGGGATGTCCATGTGGCTTGTTACACTTCCTGACACCCAGAGTCTCTTTCTATGATGAATAATTGCCACCTTGGCCATGCATGTCCCAGCTGCCATGCACCAGGTGCTTCTCTATTTCCTAAAGATCCAATGAAGGGACACTGCTGCCAGCCAGGACACAGCACAGAGGTGTATAGGTAAGTGACGAGGGAGGAACAAGCCAGCCTCAGAGCCTGTGCTGCCCACCAGGATGCTAGACTGCTGTTTGTGGTGGTGCAGAGTGGTGCTGTGGTCCCAGAGTCACTGAGCAAGTCAGGGGAGGAAGCCGTGGGAGGGGAATCGTTTATGTGCATCACTCACAGAGTCCTTTGTTGTAGGATTCCAGTTTTGCAGATGGGAAAACTGAGGCACAGAGAAATTAAGCAAGTCACCCAGGGTGCTCACCTCCTTGATGCTGGAGCGGAGGTACAGACCAAGGGCTGCCTTAACTTCCTGGATGTGGCTCCTCCCTTCTCTTAGCAAACCTTGGCACTTGTTGACTCTTTTTGGACCAATGACATCAGCATCAGGTGGGAACTTGCTAGAAATGCCCCATCCCAGGCCTCCTGTCCTCCTCTAGGGGGCAGGTCCCTGGGGGATTGAGACTTACTGAGGGCTGGCCAGCTGGCAGGGTTTGCCATCCTCGGCTTGGACTTAAAAGTTTGGCTGTTTCCAGTCCCTTGTGCTGAGCTGTTGTTGCCCACTGCCTCTCAGTTTGCATATTTTTACCCAGTTTCTCCTCACTCTGATGCAGGAACCATGTCCCACACTTCTCCAAGGGCAGGAGTTGAGCTCAGTCCCTAGCTGGTGACAGAAGCAAAGTGTCAGCAACAGCTCTGACTTCCTGCTAAGGTCTGCCTGGGTCCTGCAGAGATGGGCCCGGAGCCAAGTGCTCTCAAATCATTCCCAGGTTATGGCTTGCTAATGATGGCAGGATATGCCCTGGCTCTTACCGCACCCTTCAGCTGATGGAATGGAGTGTTAATTGCTTGTTCTGTTGAGGTGGGAGATCTCACAGGAGGGAGAAGCACCGGAAGATGGCAGCTGCTTCTCCTCCAGCCTCTTCATCTTTGTCTGTCTCTCATCTTGGGGGCCTGACCTTCTCCAGCTGGGTAGGAGGCCAGGAAGGTGAGGGCTGTTGTGTTGCTTCTCCTCTCCCACTTGAATGAGCTACGCATCTCTTGGGGCCTCAGGGAGAAATGATCCCAGTGTGAGCAGGGGACCCCTAATTCTCTTTCCAACTTTTTGGGGGGATTTTCTCAGCAGACAGCAGACTTCTTATTTAAGGGGCCCCCAAATTCAACCTTCCTTACTGGGGAGTTTCATTCTCCCTGTAGGTTTGTGTTTTTTTGGCAAGGGTGGGCAGAATTCTCAGGGAATCAGCTTTGGTTTTCACTGTTCAGCTCAACAACCCTGTCTGGGACCACATGGGAACTCAGTGGTGCCTGGGTGTTGGGAGCAACCCATCTGACTGATGTCTTACATACTGGGTCTGTGGAGTGGAGTGTAGGCTCCCCCCTCTTCCCCAGCTTGGGGACAGGCAAGCTGGCTCACTCTGACTCTGAGTTCACTGTGTGAACTTTGGTCAGTCCTTAGGTCTCTGGCCTGTGCCCTCCAGTGGAAGATATGGTTGGATTGGATGGTCTGTGGGGTCTTGTCCTGTTCTGGAGGTCCCTGACCTGAGGAGAGCACGGCATTGAGCTCGGGCTTATGAGCTTATGTGAGGGTTTTATGGCAGATGGCAGCTCCTCCCTGAGGGCAGCATGGAAATCACAGAAGCACCCTGAGATCCAGGAGAAAAAAAATAAGAAAAGATTGTTCGGATGCCCTTCCTCCGCTCAGCCCCCAAGGTCACACTGGAGGCAGCGCCAGGGTCTTTAGAAGAGATCATGGGGGAGCCAGGCATGGGAAAGTCAGGTTTGGGGGGAACATCGATTTTCCTGGAGCCCGAAGGCCAAGCTCATCTTTGACCTCTAGACCATGTTTATAGGGGCATGGAGTCCTAGCAATGCAGGTGCATGAGTCATTTTGGGCTGCTATGGCAAAGGCAAGAGACACTTAGCTTCTCACAGGCTGGAAGTCTTACATCGGGGTGCCTGTACTGCCAGGTTCTGCTGAGGGCGCTTCCTGGCCTGCAGACAGCTGCCTTCTCACTGAGTCCTCCTGAGGCAGAGTGCAGGACTCTGGTGTCCTCCTCTTCCTATAGGACTCTAGTGCCCTCCCAAAGGCCCCACCTCCAAATACCATCATGCTGTGGGTTTTGGGGGTACCGTTCAGTCCACAGCAGGGGGTGGTGGTGGCCAAGCCCCACACAGCAGCCAGCATGGGAGAGCATGCCACCGTGTAGAGCAACCCAGGCACACCAAGTATGCCTGGGGGACAGGCAGCCCTGGCAGAGGAATGGAGGCAGAGTTTAAATGTTTGGGGGAGGCCTTTGGAAGGTGTGTGAAAGTAGGTTTGCATTGCTCTGGGTGACAACCAGGCAAGGCAGCGGAAAGGGCGTTGCTACAGGTGAAGCAGAGCTGTGACCTCGGGATGGCTTCTTTTCTGCTGCAGGAGGGCTGGGAGGGTGAATGCGCCTGCCTGGCTGCTGGACTGAGAACTGATTTTGTTTTCATTCCTGCTCACTGCTCCACATTTGCCTGCTAGACACTCAGGCTGGAATCGAGGGCCCAGAGTCAGCACAGAAAAAAACAGCATCTGCCAAACCTTCTGGTGGGAAGAGCAGATTCGGTGATGGTCATCTGGCTGCTGTAGTGATGGGTAGCGTTGACTCCACTGGCTGATGACCCAGAGGTCGTTGGTGCTCCTCTCCCTGGTGTGGGGAGCAACTGTGCCTGATTTTACTGTGAGGCTCCACTCGGTTGTCTTGGTCTGGGCCTCTGCTTTCTCTGTTACCTCCTCTGTTCCTCAGCTCACTGCACAAGGGACTTCCTGTTGCCCGCCTAGGTGTTCTGGTCCTGCTCTTGTCTCTGGCTTCTCTTCTTTCTGATCACTCCCTGGGGGCAGGCCTTTGCACTGTCCCTTCTGTCCCCACCTTCTCTCCACTCCCTCAGATTCCTCGAGCTCTTCCTCCCATCTGTGCCTTCTCTCTACATGGCATCATCCACACCCATGTCTAGCCCTGCCCAGCTCAGCCCCCATCGCACAATCCACTGCCCTGTCCTTGCTGTCCCTTGGGAAAGGGAGCCTGGCATTCTTTTGCTCCATCTCCCCCTGCTTTCCCTGCCTCAGGACAGCTCGCCACCCATCTGGATTCCCAGGCCAGAGACCTGTGCCCTGGCACCTCACATCTGATCATTCCTGAGGTGTTCCAACTTTGCCTCCCAAACACCTTGCTAACATGATGCTTCTTTCTGTCCTCCTAGACACAGCCTTGTTTCCTGCCCTCTCCAGCTGGCCTCAGCCCCAGCCCTGGCCCACCTCTCCACAAGTGTGGCCTGGTGCCTCCTAAGTGGGAATCCAGTCTCATCACTCTCTTCTTCCCAGCTCTCCACTGGATCCCACAGCTCTGCAGATGCATCCCACCTCTCTGACACCTTCCTCAGCCTTCTGTGCTCAGCTCCTCAGACCTTTTTGCCTCTCCTATGACTGCACTTCTTCCCTGTGTTGCAATAGCACCATTGTCCACCTACTTCCCCAGCAGACTCAGACCTCTTTTGCTCACAGCCCAGCACCGTGCTCTTGGTGGGCACACAGTGAGGCTGCATCAGCATCATGATGGACCCCCCAGGCCCCGCCCTGCCCCCCCCAACTCCAGGCTGCACAAAGTCCCAGGAACCTACACCAGATAAACCTGGCCCTCAGACTGGCAGACCATGGCTCTTGTGCTGGTTCTACTGTGTTGTGGCGTTGAGAAATGTCCTCTGCCTTAATTTGCTCTAGGACTGGGTAAAGATGGCCATTTTCTGCCTTAGTCCAGTGACCAGTCCTATAGGGTCATGGCGAATGTGAGGCCAGTCACTGTGCCATCTTATAGCAGATGAGAAAAGAAGTGACAGACAGGGTAGGACACCCTACGTGACCATGGAGTACTTCTACACCCTGTTAACATGTGCCAGCGGGAGCATGGAGCAGGCCCTTTACTGTAGAACTGACCAAATTTTGAGTCATACGAGAAAGCAATCCCAGGGCACTTCTCCTCAGCTCCCTCCCTCTCCTGCAGAGTCACTTTTAAATGCAGCACAGAGGAGCCCAGGGCTTTGCTGACTGACACATGCCCTGAGTTTCCAAGGGCACCAAGCTGAGTTGTGGAGCTTGGGTTTGGTTGGTTTGGGTGTGTGAATAAAAGCTGTGAAACACTGTCATGCTGGGATGGAGGACAAGCATCTGTCCTTCCCTTTGGTAGTCATGGAAGAGTGTGGGCTTTGACTGAATGCAGCTCTCAGGGGTTCTCCCCTTGTCCTCCTCCTGTTTGTGGTGTGTATGACTTTTAGGCGAAGCATGTGTTCCTTTAGAAATTATAACATCAGATGACCTGTGGTGAACACTGCAGTGACAATTACATATATGACCTTGAAGAGCTTAAGAGCTATAATTTTTTTAGTTGTGTGTGTGTGTGTGTTAGATTATGTTAGAAAGGAGCCATGTTGGATCACTGTGTGTGTGTGTGATAACGAGGAGGTATGTTGGATCACCTGTGTATCAACCAACTTTGGTCTTACTGTTTTCTACAGGCGACGTGGGGGACAAAGGACAGAAAGGCAGTGTGGGCCGCCATGGAAAGATTGGTCCCATTGGAGCTAAAGGTATTTGTGATCAATTCTTGCCTCGATTCCCATCAGGTTCATGGCAGAGTGATTGTAGACTGAGCCATCTTGCTGGTGGTCTTATTTGTTTGTGTGGGATTTGAGGAGTTGCTGGCTCTGTGCCTTGGGCTGCAAGACCCTTCTTCTTCTTTCTTTTTGCAAGACCCTTCTTCAGCTACATTTTCTTAACAAGCATGAGGGAAAGATATGAGCCTAGGAAGTAACGATGAACCATGATAGGAAGCCCTTTATCTTTCGCCTGGCCTCTGTTTCTCAGACTTGTGAGACGATGGGATGGTTCTCAGCTGGGGCAGGGCACAGGGTGGCACTAGTAGGTGTGAGAGCAGTCACCCTGGGGTAGGTAACACCTGCTGCTGTGTGTAACTCACACTACCTTGGGGAGGTGGGCGGGCCAGGAACCACTCTCCCCATGCCCTGGGTGGTTACTCTAGGCCCCTCTCGTGGGCATTCAATCAACAGTCAGGCTCTGGGCACCTCATTTGATCCATGCTAGACCTTGAGGGACATAGCAAGATTGGGGAAAAGGAACCAGCGGTCACTGAGTTCTCTGCGTGATCTCACTGAGGTCTCCTTGCAGTCCTCTCACATGCTGGCTGTGAGGAGACTGAGGAGGGGAGGCCAGTGGCTGGCGTAGAGCTGTTCTGAGGAGCAGAGGTAAGGAGGGAGTTTGGCTGTGGTCTGCCCAACTCTGGCACCCAGTTCTTGTACCAGAGTGGGTCAGCCCAGACAGTGAGAGGTCAAGAGTTTGAGCTGGGAGTAGGTTTGGTGGTTTGTTTTGATCTACAGCCATAAACCTTCTGCAGTCCCATCTGTCCCCATAGGAAGGAGCCCTTGGCCAGGAATGTCAGGGAGGCTGGCAGTCCACAACTCAGGCAGCTGTGTCTCTCCTGGAAAGCCCACGGAAGCCCTGTGGCAGGCAGTTGGTTCACAGCACCCAGATAAGTGCAGGATGGTGAGGGGCTTGCTTCCTCCAGGAAATTTTACAGAACTCTGGTGAGATAGTGACATAAAACTCACCATCTCTTGAAGTTAACTGTTCACAAATGCCAGCCTTGATCCCGAAGAGCTATGCACTCTAATCTGGGGCCACTCACCAGTCAGCCAGTCACTTTATTGTTCCTTTGCTACTTTAAACCCCAGCTGCCTTTTGACTCCTTGTAGTTCTGTTGATGTGTGAGTAGGCGCTGCCCAGCTCCTAGTCAAACTTACTGTCTTTATAAGGAAACTGGCCCTTCCATGAACGTTGCCAGCAATATAAAGTGACCTCTCCTCATCTGTTTGGATTGCAAGCTAAAATGTAGAATCGGCTTTATAATTATCACATGGATGTTATCCTCATGACCTTGAAGTACAAATAGAATAAATTATATTCTATTCTGCAAAAGCCCCCCCAAAAAAACCCAAAAAAACAAACCTTGCCATCTCAGCTTTTCTCAGTGCACAATTCCGTGGCGTTAGGTACGTTTGCAATGTGGTGTTGTCATTACCACTTCTGCTTCCAAAATTTTTTCAGCACCCCAAAGAGACACTGAAGACGTTAAGCAGTAACTCTTCATTCCCTCCCACACCTGGTAACTCCTGTCTGCATTCGGTCCCTATGAATTTGCCTGTTCTAGAATATCATACAAGTGGAATCATAGCATTCCCTTTGAGTGTCTTATTTCTCTTAGTGTAATGTTTTCGAAGTTCATCCATGTTGCAGTAGGTGTTGGAATCCACTCTTTGCCGCCCCCCATGGCTCTTATTCTTTTTTTGGAATCCACTCCTTATTAAGATTGGATAGTATCCGTCACGTGCATTCATCTCATTTGGCTCACCCACGTCTCTGCAATGGGGGCTGCTTCCACCGACTGGGGCAATGAGGATTGGTGCACAAGAAGGAATGTCTCCTCAATATACAACAGATGTCAGTATCCACACTGACAGCCCCCAAGAACACCATTATTTGGTCTTGCTTATTTGATTTGCCTTGGCTTTGAGATTATCATCTGGGTCCTTGTTGGATTGGACTTGCAGACATTTTCAACCCCCCCAGTGTTGATCAAAGAACACAAAGGGATGAGTTGAACAGCGCCCACCAAGCTCTCGTCCCCAGGCGAATGAACCTGAATCTGCAGTTGTGGAAGTCTCTGCCTTTTGCAGAGTCACTAAGGTCCTCCTGGTGCGAGGAGGGATAATGTGTTCAGAATGTACACATCTCTAAGGAGCCATCTGTGGCATGATTTCTCAGTAGCTAGAGAACTTTGTTGCCTTCACTTCATTCAACTTCATCGTGAGACTATAAGTGGAGTCTACTCTTACTACTTTTTTAATTTTTTTGGCGGTACTGGGGATTGAACTCAGGGTCTGACACTTGTTAAGCAGACGCTGTACCGCATGAGCCACTCGCCAGCCCAGTGTAGTCCATTTTTCCTGTGTTGGGCTGTCCCTTTATCCACACTGCTCCCATTCTGTGTTTGTCTGGATTTTTCTTGGGAGGAAGGACATGGAGGGAGCTGGCACCAGCCGGTTGCCATTGGCTCTTGGTATGAAGGATTCCTGAGCTGCTTCTGCAAGGTGTTCTGTGAAGTGCCCTGGTTCCTCCAGAACTGAAGCCTGTGAAATGCTTGTTGTGCTCATTTTCATGAACAGAGCCAGAAGAGCTAGCTCAGAGCACAGTTCCCTGTGCAAAGTTAGGCCTGGAGAGATCCCAGGGCGTTGTGTATTAAAGAACCTTGATACTTTCACCCCTATGGAGCATATCATCTCTGCTTAGTGTCTTTGCTTTTCTTTTCCAGGTGAAAAAGGAGATTCTGGTGACATAGGACCCCCTGGCCCTAATGGAGAACCAGGTATGGCATAAAGGGCCCAAGGATTTTAAGTAAATCTATTGAAATTATCCTTCAAAATGTAAATCATTAAATAAAAGTGCAGCGGGTTGGAAAACAGGGAGTCCGTGTTTTCCTTGGTAGACCTGCTGCCTGTGGGATTTTTCAGTCTCCGATCTTTCCACGGGAATGTTTCAATGCTCTTCCATCTGTCTGTCTGCCTTGTATTATTATATTTGTATGTGTGATTAGGCTTAGCTCTACCTGCTCTAAGGTGCGTGTTCCTCACTTTTAACACATCTCTGGGATCCAGGATCTCCCTCTTCCTCTATCACTTCAGTTCTTAGGAACCACACAGTTCTGGACGGCTTCCTCCTTCCCCCACCCTTCACTGAGAAGTCTTCCCTCATAAGCCACGAGCCTCTCAGAACAGTTATGGGCACAGAGCTCAGTTTTCCTATTGAGCATCCATTCTCAGTGCTGAATGACCAGGACATGGCACATGTCCCATTCCTTCTGCCAGCTCTTCCCGTCATTATTCACTGTCTCCTTCTTTGCCAAGCTCCCTTTGCAGCCCTTCTGCTGCCTGCACCCAAATCCTGCCTTCTCCACATGCTCTCACTGGCCAAGGCAAGGAGCACCTGTGAGTCACAGTGTCCTTGCACGTGTGGCAGGGACAAGAGCAGTGTGCAGACATGGGCTCCAGGGCTCATGGTCCATGTGCAGAGTAGGGATGACAGGAGCATGCAGACACAAGCTGTGGGGTTCATGGTCGACTGACAGGAAGCAGGGCCTGCAGGGCTGTGTGGCTTACAGTCCACCTGCACTAAGCATTTTCATTTATCTGCTGTGCTGAAAAGCTTGTGTGATTTGAACTGTTGGAACATGGTTTTCCTGTCTCCTCTCCTCTCCTCTCCTCTCTCACTGCATCAGGACCCCTCTGTTTTCCTCCCGCATGCTAGCCAGATGCCATCTTCATCTCGAGTCCCTTGCTCTCTATCGGCTTCCTCACAGCATCCTTAAGCGCACCATGTGTTTCCTGTCTTAGGCAAAGCAGGACAGTTCTCTTTCCACCCACTCTCAGACTTCTGACCGTTGGCCTCTCTGCTGCTCCACATCAGATGTCTTGAGCTCTTCACTCAGAGTGTCCATCACTCCCCACTCACCACCCACCGAGACATCCACGTGGTCCCTGTGAGGGGCATGCTGGGTCCTTCAGCAGCACCTGGCCCTGGCTCCGTCATGTCCTCCCTCCTTGCCAGCCCTGCTCTCTGGGCTGCCTCCCGGCTGCTCTGAACTCCCTCTGGCATTTGTCTGCATTACTCCCAAGCATGAGCAGACAGTGCTGAAACTGCTCTGTGTAGACGTCCACTCTGACTCCACTTGGACATGTCACAGGTTCCTTCCAGGTGACACCAGCCTTCCCCAGACCCCCTCATGAATTGCAGGCATTACTTCTTGCGAAGTTTCTCCACCAGACAGCGCCGCCTCCTTCCACGTGTTCTCCCAGTTCCCTCAGTGTCCAGCAGTCAGGGGTCCTGCTGGTTCTTCCCCTCCACTGCCACCACTCGAGGCCTCACCCCAGCATCCCCTCAGCAACTGCTCTGATGTCCAGCGTCCTCTCCATCCTCTCTCACCCTGTACCTCCACCATCCTGAGTGACACAGTAAAGACACAGATCTGATCTCTGGTCTCACTGCTTCCCCGCCTCTAGGCCCGCCCTGTGCATCTACTGAGGGGCGGCCATACGAGAAGGGAGGCTGCCCCCTTCTCTCCCAAGCCCAGCTCCCTGTGTAACGGGTCTGGTTCCCGCAGGCCTCCCGTGCGAGTGCGGCCAACTGAGGAAGGCCATTGGGGAGATGGACAACCAGGTGACACAGCTGACAACGGAGCTGAAGTTCATAAAGAATGGTACGTGGGACTCGGGGTGTCCCTGACCCATGCCTCCTGCCTCCCTGCGCTCCCTGCATGCCGCCGCCGTGTGTGTGGTCGTTGTGTGCAGTAAGTTTGCTTCTAGAAATGCAAGTGCTCGCCTTTCAGCACTGCCCTCCCCCGCAGCTGTCGCCGGCGTGCGTGAGACAGACAGCAAGATCTACCTGCTGGTGAAGGAGGAGAAACGGTATGCAGACGCCCAGCTGTCCTGCCAGGGCAGGGGAGGCACGCTGGCCATGCCCAAGGACGAGGTCGCCAACGGGCTGATGGCTGCGTACCTGGCGCAGGCCGGCCTGGCCCGTGTCTTCATTGGCATCAATGACCTGGAGAGAGAGGGCGCCTTCGTGTACTCCGACCGCTCCCCCATGCAGACCTTCAACAAGTGGCGGAGTGGCGAGCCTAACAACGCCTATGACGAGGAGGACTGCGTAGAGATGGTGGCCTCGGGGGGCTGGAACGACGTGGCCTGCCACACCACCATGTATTTCATGTGTGAGTTTGACAAGGAGAATGTGTGAGCCAGGGTGGGCTGTGCTTGTGGGGGGCCAGCCTACCGAACCTCACCTTTGGCAGCAATGTTAACAGACTGCCTCCCAGACAGCGGCCAGCCAGCGACCAGTGAGCTGCCCCAGCACTGGAGAGCCAGGTCGGCTAGTGCCAGCTCCACCAGAAGTGCACAGGTCCACTGGTGGAAAGGCTCCTGTGTGGACCTGAGAAGAGGGGAGCAGTGCTTCTGGGTGCTATTTCTGAAGAAGTGAAGTTTGATTATCTGTATCGTAGCTCAGATGTTCATTATGGAATTATCACTTACACTCGCTCTTCCATAAGCTCTTGCCCTGGACCAGGTTTAAGATGCAGTCTTTAAATACTGCGATGCACAGCAAATGCACATGATGGTGGTGGGGTCTGCTTTTCATTTCTGTGTGGAGGAGAATCTACTTAGCAGTGACCAATCTTTCTAGAGATTATCCTAAAACATAGCTTCATTTTCACTATTATCCAGGTAGAAACAGCTTTGCTTTGCCTCAAACCCAGATTTCAGGAAGACAGAAATAAATTCTCTGAATTTATTCCCTACTGTGGAATGGGAGGCGTCATTTTGTTCTCTTACCTTCTTCAATGCTTATCTGTTGGTGCATGACAAATCACCCCGAAAGCTTAGTGACTCAAGACGGAGGCGTCTGTGGATCAGGAACTTGCCCAGGGCAAGCTGAGTTCCTCTCCTTCATGGACTCTTGCAAGCAAGAACCAAGCAGTAGCCACGTGGTTTTGGCAGGGTTCAACTCCTTGGGGCTGTAGGACTGAGGGCCTCCATTTCCTCTCTCTTTTGGTGAGTCTGGGGTTTGAACTCAGGGCTTTACAAGCAAGTGTTCGCAAAGCAGGCACTCTACCACTTGAGCTACATCTCCAGTCCATTCTGTTCCGATTATTTTTTGGAGCTAAGGTCTCACAAACTGTTTGCCTCCACTGGCCTCGAACCACGATCCTCCCTATTCCAGCCTCCCAAGTAGCTATAATTACAGGTGTGAGCCACTGGCACCTGGCTCGGGCTTGGTTTATTGATGGCTGGACTTCAGAGGCCTCTGCTGGTTCCTTGCCACACAGCCTCTGCATGACAGAGCAGCTCCACATGGCAGTGGCCCCCTTACAGCAGCAAGAAGAAGAGCCAAAGAGAGAGCTGGCAAGACCTTGGATTGACCTTGCAGCATCTTTGCTGTGTTCTGTTCATCAACAGTGAGTTGCCAGTCCACCTGGGCTGGAGGAGCAATTATCCGGGGACCATGGGGGGCTGCCGCAGTAACCTACTGTTTTTCTTTTTTTTTCTTTTGTATTTCAGAAACCCTAGTTAAAAAAATAACAAGCACCTTCATTTTCTAAAGAAAACACACAGGCATGCTGGGCATGGTGGTTCATGCCTGTAATCCTAGCCACCTGGGAGGATTATGGTTCAAGGCCAGCCCAGGATAAAAGCTCCTGAAGCCCCTCAACCCCCATCTCAACCAGTTAGAAAAAAGATGGACATTGTGGTGGCTGCCTGTCATCCCAGCTACAAAGGAAGCATCAATATTAGTATCTTGGTCCAGGCCAATCAGGGCACAAACTCAAGACCCTATCTCAAAAATAACCGAAGTGAAAAGGGCTAGGGTTCAAACCCCAGTAGCACCAAAGAAGAAACACACAGACATACACGTACCATTCCGACTGGGACTGAGTGAGAGGGTGTTATGGTGACAAATCTCGTGTCTCTGCATGTCCTTCTAAAGAGGCCTAACCGCCCTTTGTTCCACGTTATCTTTTTTTCTGCATGTTATGTTGTTCTGGGGATCAAACCTGTGGCCTCACACATGCTGGGCAAGCACTTTACCACTGAGCAGCCCCCTCTCCCCCCCAGCCCCGGATTATCTTTTGGATGATGTTTGCAAAGCAACAGAAGATGGAGGGAATATCTCCCCCCCGCCCCCCGCCCCTGAGAAAAGGGCAGGCAGGCTTGGAAGAGAGATGGTGTCTCACTCGGGGCCAAGAGGCAGCTGTGCCTGCCGTCCACGCACTAGAGATGATGTCTTTAGCGTGTGTGGGATAGCACGCTCCTGCCAGTCGTAAAGGATTCAGGTTCCCTAGGGTTAGGGGTCCTCTGTTTGGCGACCCACTGCATGTGCTCTTTTTTGCGACATCACAGGGGTGAGGTCAGGACACGGTTCTCTGCCTCTGCTATTGCTTGTCTTTGTCTTTGGCCTGGGAGACTCCAGGCTGTGGCCAGCAATTGTGAACCTAGGGCAAGCTGCTGTGGGCGAATCTCAGACCCTTTTCAGTTCCCACAGGAGTTTATTTATTTATTTTTTAAAATTTCTGTAGATTTAATTATACACCTCATTGGAAAACTATTTGGCTAACATGATCCAAGAGGCCCCAGTTTGGTTGGAGGAGGGGTCTTCTGTCTTCACAGAGCAGAAAGTGGAATCAAATGATCAATGCCCAGGCAGACAGACACTCATTTGAGCCCCTGCCTCATCTGCTGGGAGGGACCCGTTAGGGGCATCCAGATCTGCTGCTTGCTGTTCCCAGACTCTGAACAGAAGAGGCCTGCCCCTCCTGCTGGGCCCTGACCTCTGGTGCTAATCCTACTGCACCATTCGTCTGTGCATTGTCATCCAGTGTTTCTTTCTGTGTGACAGACTCACCGGGGCTTTCAGTATAACAGCTCCATCCAACACTTGCAGTGGGCTTTATGAACTGGGGGACAATGCCATGTCTGAGGGGGAAATGGGGGGGAAGGTAGGGAGTCCTTAGAGGTCCCTTTCATAGTCTGGGACCTGAGTCTGTCATTCCTGAGAAGAAGCAGAACCTCCTCTGCCCTGTCCCCCAGCATACCTGTGTGGATAAAGTGTGGCCTTGAGAGAGGACAAAGACAGGCTGGGGGTGTGGCTTGTGTTGTCACCCTGAGAATATGCACACGTGTTTCAATGGTAACACATTACAAAAGACATATACCTAAGTAGTACAAGGGTAAAAATCCTTCACTCAGCTTCCCAATCTACTGTGCGGTCTTTAGAAAAAGGACATATGTATACACACAGTTCTTTTTAAAAATAACTGCAAAATGGGTCACAATGCCTTCTCAGGAACCCCGTCTTGCTCTCCTGAGCTCCGCTCTTGACACCTGCAGTACTGATGTCCCTGGTGTCTCGTGGGCTTTCCTCCTTCCAGGAGCTCTTCAGTTGTTTTCCCATCTTCTCCATACAGACCTCCTGACCTTGCGTCATGTGTGCATCTGTAGAAAGAAATCCACCTGGCAGTTGAATGACCTCAGATGTGGTTTTGATGGCTGGTGCCAAACTTGTCTAGGAGGCTTTCTGCAGGGGAGGGGCCCTGCAAATGCAGGGACTGCAGGCCCCGGGTATGGGATGAGGTGGGTGATTGTCCTGGATGCCACAGTGCCAGGCCTGACCCACTTCTCTGTTCCCTTGGGCCAAGTCTGAGCTGCAGGGACAAAGAGAGGTGGCCTTCTCTGCCATCCCCCTTAGCCATGGAGGCAGTTGTCTGTTGGGTGACCTTCATCACGCTGAGTGGTTTGTCCACAACATGCCTTCCAGTCACACAAGAAACAAATTCTTCCTGCCTGTCTTCAATTAAGCACTCATGGTTCTCAGCCTGCTCTGCTGGGCAGTGGGGCTGGGGTGTGATTTTTGACCCCAGGTGGTTTTAGAGGGCACAGATGAGAGTGTCAGCCTTGTCTATGTGGTTACACTGACTTCTCCCTGCTGACTGGTGGCATCTGTTGCCCATGAAGCCTCTCTGACTGCCCCATGGCCACCATTTCTGGAGGTACAGATGAGCTTTGGGATCCTGCAGAGCTGTGGAGGGAGGTAGAGAGCCTCCCTGTGACTTGGTCACGAGGAACGCCCTGCCAGCTGGTCCTCCATGCCTGTGGGCTTCCTGCACCATCTTCGTCCTTCTTCACGGCCAGTCCTGGGCTGCCCACCTTCCCCTCTGTTCCTTCCCTACTCCCACACTAAAGCCCCATCCTCTGCAAATCAACTTGAGCCAATAGTCACCTGCTCTGTCATTGCATCAGTGATCCAGCTGTGGTCCAAGCTTTGACGGATGGTGTGACTTTGACTAAGTTACTGGAACTCCTTAGGCCTTGGACTCCCCATTCCTGGGTCTTGTGAGGATTCCATGAGACAGTGCAGGTCTGAGTACTGAGTGCTCTTGGACTTATTGAACCTCCAGTGAGAGGTAGCAGTGATAACGACCACTACGGAGTTTCCCAACCACTGCCACTTAACATTGTTTGTGACCTTTCCCAAAATTATTGCACGGGGACCCAGACATCTCCATCCATTTAAATACACATAAACAGAGTGATCTTCCTTGGGCCTTGACCACTTTCTCAAGCTTTTATACCTGAATATACCAGAAAAACGAAGACAGTTTGGTGCCCACATCATGGTGACTGTAATGGGAAAGAAAGAGGGCAGCCTTGGATGGCTCCCCAGGGGAGGCAGCACTCTCCAGGATCTGAGGTAGATGAGGGCATTAAAAGGCACCGAAGCAGCAGAGCCTTGCTCCAGGCTCCTGCTGAAGCCCCCACTTCCCGTTCACACTCACAGAATGGTGCCTGAGGCTGGTACAACCCCAGCTGAGTAGGAGCACACGGCACAGTAGGACACAGGGTGGTGCTTATGGTCCGGTGCCTGCTTAGCCCTGCTCCTGACTGCTGCAGCTCCAGCCCTTACTCCCAAAGTTCCAGGTAGTCACAGTGTCAGTTCTCCAGCTGCTCCTGTGTCTGTCTGGGCCTTGGTTTCCTCCCTTCACAGGCCAGGAGGGGACAGAAACAGTTGTGCTGTCACACTGCCTCTGGGCTTCAGGTGAGGTTAGCTGAGATCTGCCTTTATGATGGTGTCCCCCAAGGGGAACTGGTTCTAACACCAAGCTCAGCAAAGGCACATGGAGCCCTTGTCTATGCCTTAGGTGGTTAGGATTACTTCGGAGCAAATCTGAGCGGATACAAACAACTGGATATGGAGTCAGGACCTTGGCTTCGAG